ATATACAAACCTGTTGTGATGCTGAGTTAATAACCAAGTCTGGCAGCTCATTGTATTTACCTCACTTCATTCTTTGTATGCCGATCACCTATGTGTACCTGATGACAAGAACTTTTTTAGTTTTTAGTTCTTTATTAATCCCCATTTTAATGTAATCTTGTATTCTCCATTATTTCGGTTCAGTCCAATAATAATGTTTGGCTTTGTTTTTTACAGTATGTGATAGAAACGAAGAGATTTCCCACTGTTACTATTTTTGCTTAAAGGTCTGGTGTGTGGGATTTAGTGGCATCTAGCGGGGAGGTTACTGAGCTAAACTTCTCACGTATACCAAGTGTGTAAGAGAACTAGGGTTGCTGATGTGAAACCGCAAATGGCCCTATCTAGAGCCAGTCAGACTTTGAAGCTAATTTTTGTTGTGGCCAGACAGTGTAACTACGCCATCACATGATGCCCCGTGGCCCAAAAAGAATTTTTCCCATTAACCCACATTACGAATGAGACATCTGTATACAGTGGATAAATAAGCGTCAAGCATTTTGAGCGTCACAACAGCCTCATATCTTTTGGAAAGTCTAGAAGAGCCGCACAATTAAATCATTTATCCCCATTCAAATTAGCAGAGCACTAAACAGGACGTAGCAGGCTCAGATGGCAGAAGTCTTTTGTGTGCCTGCTCTCTCTCAATCATCTGAGTAATTCTATATGCAGCAGTTGAACATTTTTCACAGTGGTTACTTGCGGTATTGCAGAAAATAAAACAATCCCAAAAAAACCCCAAAAGCATTTTCTCCATAGGCCACCATTATAAAAGAGACGTCTGTAAAACTGTTGACAGAACACCTCAAACGGCGAACAATTTCATATATGACTCTTTCTATTATGAATTCTTGATCCATGGAGGTTTTATGTTTGTAAAACTTTCCTCAAACTGAGAAAGGCAACATCATTACAATGCAAAATCTATGAGCCAAGCAGGAACTCATGGGGAACTCATGGGGAACCTATGTTCTTGCTCCACTGAGCAACTTTCATAGGAATGAGTGGGGCCACTGCACTGTATCCATGTTCCTTTATACATCCACGGTGGAAGAGGACCTGCTTCTTATGTAGATATAAATGTCTCATTCTAAGGCAACATAAACACAATACTTTCAAGTAATAATAAACTTATGAAAACATAGCTCTGAATATTGATTACCATTTCTGTCAATAAATGCCAAACTGAACCCTTAAATAACTGGGAAAATGATGCTTATGTGCTGTACATAAGGATGGGTTTACAATAAATGTAAAGAGAAAATCAGTGTCGTGACAAATGCACATTACAGCAGAATCAGATTTGCTTTATGCTGCACAAACTGTGGAGAAGATGCTTCATCTTTAACAGAACTGGTTACTACTTGAGTGAAAAATGCAAATGTATAACCAGCTGTACGACTCAGCTTCATTATTCAAGAGAAAATATGCTTTGAATTCAGCCTGAACAAACTTTTAACAGCTGATGTTGTAAGGAAGCCTGACCTAACTTTAAGGAAATCAGCATGAGGGAATATGAACATTAATGGTGGACGTCACTACTATGAAGGATACTGTGTGTCTTGGAAAGCAGAACCCATTAGCATGCGTGCAACAGCCCGGTCTGTCAGGTTTGTGTCTGAGAGAGTAATAACTTTGGCTGCAGCTCTTGCCAGTAAAAAGTACCTCTGCTCAACCTCTTCTACTTAAAATCCCAAAAATGCGTCCCAGGGCAGAACAAAAGATGGACAACGACAGCCTTGTCTCCGCTGAGGTGTTTCCTAAGTAATGGCTGGACATGTTAAGCCAAGATGAATCTGCACACAGGTGCCTGGAGAGGATGTGTCCTGTTTGTGATTAAACTTCAATGCAAATCTGTTATCGACAAAAGATCTGTGAAATGATTAATCCGTCAGGAGTTTACACAGTTATTTTATAGTGATTTATTGATGTTATATTTGGTAAATAATGGTAAGCTGTAAAATACAGTGTGCTTTCTTTTCATACCATTCCTTTTTTCTCTTCAGTGCATTTAAAAGGTATTTGCCAATATGAGATCATACTCTGCCCAAAATGTTCAGCCTTGTAAATATAAAGGTCCAACAGCCTGTGCAGCCCTGTCTCCCAGAAATTACATTAACATACAATTAACTTGAATTACGTTTTAAGGTAAACCTTATTCTGAGCAAATTATGTTTTCAGTTAACATAACGTATCCTATCCTAAATCCTAAATATTTGTCTGATATCTGACAAATAAGTGCCCCGCGAATCATGTTACATACTTATCGTAAAGTTATAAAGGTTAGGTTTAAGCAGTAAGTGACTGCGGTAAGGTTGAGGGAAAGAAACATGGTGATGATGTACCTTAAAATACCTCAGAGTTCTAAGGGTTCGGAACACTGGTATCCTGGAGGAGTTCTGGAGGAAAGTCCTGTGTGTTGTGACCCATTTACCGCCCCAACTTAACTCCTTAAGATGACTGTTTCTTTCTTTACTCCAGTCAGTGGATCAGTCACATAACCACAGCCTTCCCAACTAAGTGGGAATTATGTTGCTAAAAAATGTTGCTAACTAACGTATCTGGTAAGTTGAAAAAATGTTGATACTGAAATTTTGAGCACAATTCATTCATTTTCTGTAACCACTTATCCTGTTGGGGGTGGCGGATGGGCTGGAGCCTGTTCCAGCTGACACTGGGCGAGAGGCAAGGTACACCCTGGACAGGTCGCCAGACTACCACAGGGCTGACACATAGAGACAGACAACCATTCACGCTCACATTCACACCTACGGGTAATTTAGAGTCACCAATTAACCTGCATGTCTTTGGACTGTGGGAGGAAGCCGGAGTACCCAGAGAAAACCCACGCTGACACAGGGTGAACTTGCAGACTCCACACAGAAGGGCTACCCCACCCTGGAATTTGAATCCTCCACCCCAGGGTTCAAACCATGAACCCTCTTGCAATACTTGGATGTATGCAATTACCCTAAACTTAAGCAGGATAAGTCTGAGGCTATCCTCATTGCCTCACCAGCCACACTGCGCAAAGTCTCCACTTAAATTTGCCCAACCTCAAAATACTCATATCAAAAACATCACTAAAACAGCCTTTTTTCACCTGAAGAACATCTCCAGACTTCGCCTATCACAGGGCTAAAACATAGAGACAGAAAACCATTCACGCTCACATTCACACCTACGGGCAATTTAGAGTCACCAATTAACCTGCATGTCTTTGGACTGTGGGAGGAAACCCACGATGACATGGTGAGAACATGCAAATTCCGCACAGAGGGGCTCCCCCACCCAGGGGTTCAAACCCCCCGCCCCAGATTGGAACTAGGAACCTTCTTGCTGTGAGGTGGCAATGCTAACCACTGCACCACCATGCACCACAATGTCCATTAATCGTTGCAATTGTTTGTCACCATAATAGGAAACCTTGCGATGCAGTATCCACTTGTAGTTCCCAAAGCATATTTTTTGTTATTATTGTCCTTTTGTTACATTTAACCAAAATCACGATCTTTCTCTGTCCTTCACCAAAGTGACGTTGTTGCGTATACCTAAGCAAGGAGTATGGATGCAAACCCAGAGTTCTGGTGTCAAGGTCTTGCACTTTGTACTCCTCAGCTATCTCCTCTAGAAGCCTACATGAATGTCATGTTTCGTTACTTGAAAGACACTTCTCTCAACATATTCCAGCCAGTGATTACGTTGCCACAACAATGTAATTAAGAAAACAGTTTAGTAACTCACAAACGGATTTTCTAAAACAGTGGGTCCCAACTGACCCAGCCATGGGGTCCAGATTTCTACTTAGTCATTAGTTGAAGGTCCACACAGTCTGATACATTCAGTGTCATACTTGCATTTGACCATGTCGTCCAGTCAGTTTGCTGTCCTTGTTAAATAGTTTTCCATTAGTCACTCACTCTGCGGCAGGAAAGGGCACTTCAAAATTAAACCTCTGTGCCAGAAACTCACTGTACTTAAAATAAAGTGTTTTTTACAAACTTGACATGTTTGCGAGTCACTTGCGGTCTTTTTGTAATGGACCTGCGACCCACCACTTGGGAACCACTGTTCTAAAAGACAGGGTTGGCCATTGTTGGCGTGATGATACAGGTGATCCCGTATGTACAGGTACTTCCAGGGAAGAAGAGAATCCTGCCAAGACTAATTCAGCACAGTATGTTGAGCTCTGACTTTGGAAACCCATAAAAGAAATATGCACAAGCCATATGTGATGGTCCAGGGGTCAAGTCCTCTGTACTTTTGTTCACAAAAAGTACAGTTCTAGCAGTCACTTAAACCCTCTGAAGTTGCGAATGAACTGAGGTTGGTCCTTGTTCTACCTCTGATCTCAGTTTCAGGACTGACAATGACAATTATCCTGATGAATCCACTGAGAGACTGCACAGACCAGCAGGCTGAGGTTTCTTGGGTTCTTTGCTCTCTTGTCATCTATGTGTGATGCCGACAGTTTTCTCATTTCGTTACTAGAACCACTGTGACTGGCTTCCACACATGGACAGCCAGACGCATTGCGCTGCAGTTCCCAGCTTATTCCTGCAGCCAGTGACTTTGTAATGTCTTGTTCTGATATTTTGTAGACACATGCTGATAGTTGCTGTGTTCTTTTCCCCTCTGCCTCAAAGTTTTCTGGATCACTTGCCTGAGAGAAACAACAAAAACTGATGTTAGTGCTTGTGTTGAAAACCAACCAGCTGAAAATTAGAGCCACAGAGAACAGGTAATTATCTGGGTATGTGGTTTGCTCTTCCTCAGTTTCTGTCTTGACTCTTATAGATAAGTACGCTCAGTATCCATGCAAATGCTTGGCAGACAGTTCAGTTCCTTCTGGATGAGAGGGGGGGTGTCTCTCTCTCTCTGTCTGTGTGTGTGTCTCTTTCCCTCTCTCTCTCCCTTTCCTCGCTGGCAGCAGCGTCTGTACTGTTGGCAGGAGTGACCAGAATAAAAACAGCAACACCAGACATAGAGGAGGAAAAAAAGCAAAGTGATCCATTGAACCAGAGACTTTACCCTCTCTTAATTACGTCGAGTCCCATATCTTTCCCCTTTTTTTTCCACCTTTTTCCTGCACTCTTTAAGACGTTGGGCTCGTGGTAATTAGTTAGAAGAGAATAAAACCAGCTGATCGGGAGAGGGGTGGTGCATTTTGGAGCGAGATGGCTAACAGAAACATTCTGTTGCTCTTCTGTGGACTCTTCCTCTTAGCAGTGATTCAGCCCTCTCTGCAAGGAGGTAAGTGTGTGCTACAGGTGAACCGAGCCATTATCTTTGCTGCATCAATCACAGACTGGCAACAGGTGCAATTTTTTTTAATCTGTGCCTTTTTGTCTCCTAGAGACATAAAACTAAATATCTTAAGTGATTAAAAGTTTTGCAGATGCTTATCAGCTGTGAGGTATCAATGAGCACTTTCACTTATTTTCCTTGAAACATTTTTTATAATATATCTTTTGTGTTAAATTCAATTGTTTTATTGTTTTGGCTTTATCTCAGTTGTATCTTGAAAAAGAGAGCTCTGCAGTTGCATTGCTATTTTGTTACTACATCAGTAATACAAAGCTCCATGCTGCAGTCATGAAAATTGAAGAGTGTTTAGTCTGGTTGATCCTCTGCACGCTGTGTTGTTCCATCACACAGCTGCTGAAGATGGCACTGAAATAAATAGAAAGGAAGTTGCTCTTTGCATCATATTTACATGTCTGCAAAGTTAGAGGTGAGGTTCAGCACTGTCCACAGTTTGACTAGATATTTGTGTCCTATCATGGCTTTTAATTTCTCTTGGGTTTAACAATAAGACAACCCTGCAACATAACTGTATACAAATTCTTACCATTCATATCAACCATTCATTTGTGTGGTTCTCTATACTAGTTTGTCATGCATATGTATCTTTCAGAGAGTTTATTCGCATCTTACACATGCACCTCGTGTATGTTTACATGGCCAGAGACTCCATCCTATAACATGTCAGGAAGAGAAGGCTCTCCAGCTGGTCCCTCTTCCCTCTTAGCAAAACCACTTGGTTTAAATTCACCCCTGATGAACTCACAGGTGGACAGACAGTGTATGTAAGTGTCACCTTTACAGCTTTGACCTGGTCTTCTCTTGAAGTTCTGCAGAGACCTGCAGATTTGAGGGTTTAGCTACAAGTGCAGTTTAACCCTTTAAAGCCTGAGCAAATTGATTTCTTTCAAAAACATTAAGACCAACCCAACTGCAAGAATAAATGTTGGCATGATACATTACTGTGAACCACAGATATGTTAGATTACATTATTATGTAGCAGATTTGTTCCAACAACATTATTTGGGTTATCTTTGGGCACAAAAACCACTTGGTTATGGTTATGGAAAGGTCATGTTTTGGCTCATATTTTCCCGACAGGAAACACAGCAATGACTCACTACTCACAACTGATTTCATTGTTTGTCGGTCTCAAACAGTGCTCTGCAGTGGTCTGCAGCTTTGCAGGCACGTCACCTAGGTGTCCCATCATCCACCATCCCCTGCACCTCCAGATGACAAAGTCAGCTCATATACTAGATCACTTTAGAAACGTGATGTGATACGTAGGAAACATACATATGTGATGTATTCATGGCTTGCAGAAATGTACAATACCAGCATTTTCTTCTGGCAACTGAGCAGGGGAAGAAGGCGATGGGAAACTTAACAAGAAATGACCCAAAAATTAGCAAGAAATTACTAAAAGGTGAAAAGGAAATTATACCTGGAAAAAGTACTTAATAAAGCATACAGGGGCGCCCAGTAGCTCATCTGGTAGAGTGGGTGCCCCAAGTACAAAGGCTGTGTCCTTGCCGCATCGCCCGTGGGTTCGATTCTGACCTGTGGCCTTTTGCAGCATGTTGCCTCTTTTTTCCTCCTCCTTTCAACCTGTCCTATCTATTAAAGGCAAAAAAGCCATAAAATAACCTTATTTTAGATCAAAGTTTGTCTAACTATTTGAATATAGTTAAATAATAATTATAAACACGGTTTTCTGGCCATTTTTCTCTAAGTTTTTTATTATTTTCAAATAAGTTTCTCTGTCCTTCGCTTTCTATTTGCTAATTTTTAGATTTTTTTTATACTAACTTCTTGCAGTTTTCAGGACATATTTTGCCACGTTGCCCTTTTTCATGTAACTGATAGAAGTCAAACTAATTTGTGCAGTTTTCAGAAGTTTAAATGCTAATGAAAGATGTCTGAACGCAGCTCGAGAAAACTGATGTCGATTGCGGTTTCAAGGGGTTAAAGTTACAGCTTATCTGTTTCAGACAGAGAGAGAGGTTGTGAGCATACCTTTCCTCCTACTATCATTCAACCTGCGAGTTTGCTCCCCTTCTTGCATTGCTTTGATTTGGTTCTTGGTCTGTGTTTTGGCTGAGACTCTCTCAGTTATTCAGCCCCCAACTGGAAAACATGTTTAGCATCTGGGGCTGGGTATGCTGGAGTCAAGTCAATTTTTTGTTGTATTTATTTGCTTAAAAGTCACAGCTGTTTATGTTCCTTATCTCGCAGTGTCCTTTCAGATGCATTTTGTTTAGATGGTTGAATTCCTGAAAGAAACATTTTGTCCATATAAACTCTCCTGTTTTTTTAGTTGTTTTATTGGCCTCCTCTGATTCGATCATGTTGATGAAGTCCACCAAGGCTGTTTTTGTCACGTCATAGGTAATCTAAAAGTGTATTTGCCCTTCTTTCTCTGCCTCATAGCACATGTGTCCTTTCTTGTTTGTGCCAGCCACATTTCAGCTGAGATTTTGAGATGCATTCGGGCAAATTATGGAGCAGGTAAAGGAGCCAACAAATATCAATACTGGCTTTGCAGCACAACTTTGATCTATTCTATTGAATCCATCCATATCAAACATTTCTGTGGTGCCCAAACCAGTTCCATCTGTGTCTGTGCAGTCTAACTGAGAAAAAAAAATGTTCTTGCCATGGTCCAAGGGTCAATTATCTGTGAGTAACATGAACCTCATTAACACCCAGTCCACTCCTTTAATGCCTCTGCACAGAAAACACTTCTTGTGAAATTCGCCCCTTAAATGATGATGTAGTGCGAGGCTTGTCTGAATGTTTTCCATCGACACATGTAAATGAGTTATGGCCCGAGAGGAAACATCTGGGAAGGAGTACTGTATGTTAATAAATATGCCCCCTGTCATGTATAGCCTTGCGCAGGTACTGTTTGTTGGTTCTCCTGTGTACGATGGAGGAGGCAGACTTACCTTACATTCTCCAAACAAACAACATCTGTCACATGGATACAGTGAGCTGGATGTTATTCTTATCAAAATAAATTTATGTTGACGCAGTCTGGGCCCAGTGGCCTCTGCATTTTATTGCTCCATTTGATAACTGAATCAAACTGAGACAGTTGATAAAATTCTTTGAATAGATTCCTCAACTTAGGAATTTAATCAAGCAGGTCAAGAGCTCATAAGGTATTTGTAAATTCTTTGTGAAATGATACCATCATCCTACTTTATATTTACTGTCACACTGTAAATGCCCAGAGTGTATCAAATATCTGGTGTCTCGACATATGTTGTATGCCTCCAGACGACCTCAACAACCAGCTGGGGGACCTGTGCCAGAGTCATTAGTTTGGCTTTTATGACGGACACAGTTAATAGCACAGTTGTGACGGGCCAGTGGGAGATGAAAAGGGAAAAAAATAGCTGCTCTGTTCCTTCGCAGTCTCATAAGAATTAGAGAAGATGTTTTCTTTATTGCTGCTGGAAGCCAGTTTGCCTCATTTGGCTTTGGCTAAGTTCAGCCCTGAGACTTCAGAGGAATTTAATACATTAATCAGTGACAGTCGCCTGGCAGTAGGTGGAGTTAAATGAAAACAGTGCAGGTTGGATGGCATGCTGCAGTTGTCACAAAACACCAGTGATGAATTGCAGCATTACCCCAGCATTGTTGGTAGACACCCAAACTGATTGTCCTGATTCCCCCAGCAAGTGCCTCAGGCTTTATTGGTTGTGTTGTGGACACCTCTCTGGCTCTAATCTGTCCTGTGGCGAGGCTGAGTGCCAACCACAGCATACTGGATTAATGTGACACATACAGTAGGCATCCCAGTGCTCAACAACTCTACTCTGTAATTAAGGAAATAGACCATTTAAAGTACCGTCTGAGCAAGACGTGGAGGTTTTTCTTCAGTGAAGTTTTTGTTCAATTTCTATAACTTCTTTGAAGGGAAGTTTGGTATTTTTTACCCTGAACCTAATTTTCCCATGTTTTTGCATCTAAGTGGCTAATGGGAACAACAATTTTTGAAACTGGTCCAATACTGAGCGACAGCACTGCAGCCGCAGAAAAGGCTGCAATGTAACCACTAGGGGCATTTGTGCACCATCACTTTACCTCCACTAAAAATACCTGTTTTTGCCGCTGCAAGGCTCAGGTTGTTATTATAAGTGTCTGACAACATCATGGAAAGAGTCCTGATGGAGATAAACCTTTTTATTAACAGTAAGATTATTTTTGTTGAACCAGACAAACTGCTATCACCAGAGCCACCAGACTAAAATTAAAACTGAAATTGATTGAAATCATTGTGTGTACAGCCCTTTGAAGCATGCTGTGTGATAATATAGTCTAGTAGCCAGCCCATAGAGCCCCATTGTGAACCCGGAAATGTTGAGTACACCAAAGTTTTATTGCAGAAATGTGAAGTATGGGTCCAAAGCATACAGAAACTGCAGGATGCAAATTTTCATAAGTTGAGCAATTTGCATAATTAGCACAATTAGCATAATTAGCAGAATAATCCAGATTGACAATAGATTTTGTACTGTGTGACCAGTTTCTACAATATTGGAGTGGTTTAAGAGGTTTTAGAGGATGCTGAATTCAATTCTGGCACTTTCAGACTTCAAAGTGGTAATTCTATAACAAATTTGGATAAATTTAGACACATTTTTTATTAATTTTGGACAAAATTTTAGGTTATTTTCATGGTAAACACAATAATCTCACATTTCAGAATCACAAGAGCTCTTGCTCTCTGATGTGAATGTTGATAACCTAAATTTGTTTACATTTCTTGAGGTCCGGTCATGTTTTTATGCAAATAAGCTGTTGCAGCTAGCTGTTGTAGTTGTAATAAGTATGTTGTAAAGCAAGGGAGCATAGTCTAGTTTTAAGTACTTGAAACATTTAAAAAAATGTATGGAAAACTTAATCATAAAGGGAGCAGTTTCACCAACTAGCAGGT